CAAACAACGGATCATCAGTACGGACCGTGGATTGATCTACAGTCCGTGGATCCTCCTCCGTAGCTCCATATTTAGAATCTTCAAAATCAGGTACTGGAACCCCTCTCTGAATCATTTGACGGATTAACAGTACGGTTTGTAGATCAATCTACGGTCCGTCGATTGAAACTGTGGTTTCACACTTGGTCAAGAATTCCATGATCTTCCTCCATGCCTTGCTAGTCCATCTACGATCATCATCTACGAAACGTGAATGGACCTACGGTCCGTGAATCACATCCGTAGATGGGCTTTTCTGTACATTCCTCAACTATGTGTCTCAACTTTCACGTCCGAACTTATTCCCTGAAAACATGATAAAAACACATTAGTACTAATACAAAATGGCCCTAGACACACACAATTCTTAAGTGAAATGTATTAAAAATACCTTAAACTCACGGTATATCAATATCCTCCTAGGAAAGAGGATTATATGCCCAAATGATGGGTGAAAATAGGACTCAATTCCAACTTCAAATGGCCAAATTACCACACTTTAAAGCATAGAAACTAGGGAATTTAAGGTTGGAAACTAATTTGAATTATGAAATTAAAGACGTAAAATCTTAGAGGAGAGGGAAAGAAAGAGAATCACCTTAAAATGGTTGAAATTGGTAAAGAATTGTTCCAAAACTCCCAAGGTCGAGCTCTCAAAGAGTTGGGTTTCTTTTTTGAAATAAAGAAGGAGAATAGGGTTCTACTCCCAGTGATTTTAACAAAAGCAGAAAATGTTTGCAAAACTGGACACTGTTTAAGTGGCAAGAGGCTTCTCAAAAGCGAACCCCTCCTGAGAGGTTCCCTTCGCTTAAGCGGCCCCGTGGTTTCTTAAGTCGCCTTCACAAAAGCCATGAGCAGGCAGCTTAAGTGGCCCACACCCCTTAGATGTTGTTAGCTTAAGCAGATCGCTTGTTCGCTTAAGCTAACTTCACTTAAGCAATCAAGGGACACTTAAGCCGACGCACCATATATCAGATTTTTCAGAAAAGAGGCTTAGTGTCTAAACAATTCTAAAATCCCCTCGAAATTCAGTTGGAGTCAAAACAATGCAAACCAAAAGTGCAAAACCACTTGGAAACAACATTTCGGACTCAAAAAAAATACAAAATAGCCATTCGAGTTCATTTCGTCAAAATGTTGACCAAAGTCCACACTAAAACAAAGAAACACAACAAAATAGCAAAAGCTAAAATAACTCAACCCGCCACTCTCGGAAACAAAAACCTAAGGTCGCTCTAGACAAAACTCAATATTCTGGAGCTAATCATGCTAAGGAAATTTTATTCCAGGCAATTTTTACTGAGTAACTTTTCCCAAGTCAAACTTTTGGCTAAACTCAAAAGCTAAAACGTCTAACCGCACCAACTCCAAATGAAAATACTCAAAACTCAAATTAATCATCACACACGACCAAAATGACCCTTCCTATGCTGATTGTTGATGAAATTCTATCCGACACCAGCATCTCTAGGTGTTGACTAAAGTCAACTCTTTCAAGCATTAAGCTTTTAAAAATCCAAAACTCATACCAGACTCAACCAAATTCCTTGGAAAGCGTGCCACCCAACCCAGCACAACACAAAAGCTATAAGGAAGTTATGGGAATGGATAGAATATGAAAACCATGCATAAAACATTGAAATTACCCTGAGGGTCAATAAATATCAAACCATCAATGGATATTTACTCACCTATTATTGTCTGCCTAGAAACTTATAGAAGTGTCTAAGCATGCAGTTGCTCAGAGAAAACGACAAACAATTGTCTAGGCTAATGGATTTTTGCATTGAAAATCTCACTTTCCATATTTTAACGTTGAGCTACAGACAAAGAGGAGACCGTCAGTTTGCTTCTGTCATATCTTGAATGTCCACCCTAGTTGAGACACGACACTTGGAACCAAAAGAGTACTCAAGCTAACCCTTAGCATAACATCTCAAATCATATTATAGTAAACTGAAGTAAGAATTTTCTTTTTTATTTCAAAAATGGACATGCTAGATCATATATCTATATACAAACAGAAAGATCGACCAGTGGATTCACCTTTTATAACACATCAGAATTTTGAAAGAAAGAAAAGAAGTTTTTGGGTTGTAGGCTATGTTTACGGGTCCCATCTATGGACCGTACAAAGTTCCACATGCCGTAGATGGCACTCGTACAAAGAGGGAAAATATTTTAATTCAAAAAAATCCCAGTACTCCTTTTACGGTTCACCAGGATGGCTTGTCGGTCTTTGTACGAGCTGTAGATAGGTCATTTAGGTATTCCCTAGACTTAGTGAAATTTCAAGGGTCCAAGTGGGTTTTTACGATTGCTATCTACGGACCGTAGAAAGACCTACGAGTTGTAGAAGTGTTCCGTCAAAATATAGGTGATTTTATGGTCCCAGTACTTGGTCTATGGTTGACCACTACGGGCCATAGAAAGTCATTTGGTCCGTAGGTCGGAATTGTAGGTCGATGTCTGGCAGTTATTTTAAAGGGCTTTTGGGTCTTTTTCTAAATGTTTTAAACCAATTCTATGTTGTTTTTCCTTCTACCCTAATACTTAAGTAAGAATTATATTTCAGATTTCTTTTCCTATAATGTGTTGATATCTACCATATTTTAGGTGTTTTAAATCTTAATTTTCGTTTTTGAAATATTTTTAATTACATTTAAAATTATTTAAATATGTTTTAATTTTTTTTTAAATATAGTAATTAATAAGATTACTTAATTCGAGGTTATATTTATAATAAGTATAAGTAATGATTCGAGCTTATATTTATAATAAGTATAAGTAATGATTCACAAGTTACCAAATAAACATAACAGAACACAATAGACTGGATAAATGTCGATACTTATAGAACTCAGGTGTATAGTTCATATATGTCGAACCAAAGAGAGTCGGACATTAATAGTATTGATCATACAAGTCTTGTCCCCTATATTACGTGATTTGATAAATTGTGAATCATTACTAATATTTGTTACTAAAATGACTTCCAATTAAGTAATTTTTTTAATTATTATGTTTAAATAAAATTAAACTATATAATTTAATAATTTTTAAATGTAATTTGTAAAATATTGGGATAACGGCAACTCAAAACACATTAGACTTGGTAAATGTCGATAGTTATAGAAATCATGCATATAGTTCATATATGTTGAACCAAAGAGAGTCAGACATTAAGAGTATTTATCAAATAAGTCTTATCCCCTATATTATGCCAATTTGATAAATTGTGAACCATTACTTATATTTATTACTAAAATGGACTCCAATTAAGTAATTTTTTAATTATTATTTTTAAATAAATTTAAACTAAATAATTTAATAATTTTCAAACATAATTTGTAAAACATTTTGAAAATGATAACTCAAACACATTAGACCTGATCAAACAGTGTTTTCTACTATTTTTTTCCCAAATATATTGGGAATATTTATGGCTAAAAAATATGAAGATGTGTATAATTAAAGTGAAAAAAAAAATTTACTACTGATGTCACAATTTTTACCATTTAAAAAATAAGTTTTTTTACCATTCTGACCAAATTATGGCCAAAGAATATATTTAATTTTTATAATTAATGTTCTCTTTGGTGGAATTTATAGTCTTTTTCCATACTTGACTATGGAATCATTAAAAATTAATGACTATTGGAAACATGATTGAAGAATATAGAGATCCCAAGAATATATTTAATTTTCAAGTTAAAAGAGTACAAAAGTTCAAAAAGAAACTAGTTAATACTCCCCGTGTCCCTAATTACTTGTCCATTTTTCCTTTTTTAGTTGTCCCTAATTACTTATCCAATTTGACAAATCAAGAAAGAACATTTTTTTTTACCTATTATACCCTCAATTAATTATTTTGAAAAAGGTAGAACTTATTGAAAATTTTAAATTTTGAATTCACCCACTTCATAATTAATATGAATGAAATGGTAAACTCATTATGTCAATCATTATTTTATTAATAAGTGTGTCAATTTAAAAATGGAAAAATAATTAGGAACAGAAAAAATAGTATAAATAAATTTTTTTTTACCATTCTGATCAAAAGATGACCAAAGTTTTCTGACCAAAAGTATTTTTCCTTTTCTATACTTGTAGTAGTAATATTTTTTATAATAGGTCCAAGAAAGAGAATCTTGTTCTCCACTAGCTAGAAAAACTAAACTATAAAAAAGTTGTTCAATGGAATCGATTCTCAATTTGGCCAATGAAATAATCATAGAAATTGAGAAACATTTCCTTCGAGGTCCACACAGCCACGTGGTGCAAACTGCAAGGAAAATTCTCTGTATAATTTCATATACTCTGTTTCTATTTACTTGTCAAATATTTTCTAATGTGATTTTTTATTTTTTACAAATCAAGGAAGATAATTTTTTTCTTCCTATTATATCCTCAATTAATTAATATTGAGTTAATATCTTTGAAAAATGTAGTAAGTAAATGCTCCGTATCTGTCCAACAATAATTGTCCACAATTGACTTTGCACATTTCTTATGAAACTATAGATAGAAGGGTAATTTTACGATATCACCATTTGAATATAACAAATAAAATGTCTTGTAAATTTAATAGGGAAATAACTATATTTAATGATAAAGGTTAATTAGGAACTAAGTGTAAAATTATCAATTAATTTCATAAAGTGAACAATTATTGTTGGACATCCCAAAATAGTATAGTGGACAATTATTATTGGATGGACGGAGTACATATTTAAGATTCTATCAATTAATAGAGATAAATGATAAACTCACTATGCCAATTATTATTTTCTTAATAGATGTGTCAAGTCAAAATTTGACCAAGTAAAAAGGTACGGACGGAGGTCACGGAGCTAGTAATGAAATTAGCAGTTCAAATAAAAAACCATAAACTAAATATGTATGCCAACAATATCATATTTTCCCCCCTTAGCACAAAATACTGGAAAAAAAGAAAACAATTGAACTTCAAATGAAAAACCATTAACTAAAACTATTTTTTACCCTTGGAATTTGATTTAGTTAGAGTATTCTTGTAAGCACAACAACCAATGAGATAAACCGATATGAGAATGACCAAAGTTATGATGAGAATGAGATTAGATTTCTTCCATTCTTTCCTGAGATTTCCAAGTAGGCCACCTTTGCAAGAATCACAGTTGTAGCATAATTGATTAGGGTCATTGTTCCAGATAGAGCAATCAACATCTACTACTGCATTTGTTGGGTTAATCCACAAGGTTGGGTTCATATACTGGTATCCACAAATTGTTGGAGGTTTACAACATCCAGACTGGAATATAATTAAGGAACAAGTAATGCTAGTGTTAGAACAAATGAAAAATAATAAAAATCATCAAGGTTAACATTGTTTATGTCAAATTTGTTCTTACTTCTTAAGCTAATATATATATGTGTGTGTGTGTGAGATTCAACAATTGAAGGAAGGTAGGCTCATTTTCATGTAGAGCCACATGAAATATGTAAAAGATGCTTACATGGACCATGGTTGTCAATCCTATCTTTATTCTTCTTCCTCTCTCTCCCTCTGTATTCTCCGTAACAATTTATGCGATACTACTCATACAATTTGTATTATCTGTCCCAGTTTATATGACATAATTTTATTTTTGGAAAAGGGTCAAATATGCTCCTAAACTATTCGAAAAGGTCTAGATATACCCCTCATTTAAAGTTTAGCTCACTCGTGCCCTCGCCGTCCAACGTTTCGTCTAGATATGCCCTTATGGGCGTTAAACGCCAAATGGAATTGCCACGTCATTTTTACATTATCACGTGGCATTGAAAAAGGGTCAAATATACCCCTAAACTATTCGAAAAGGTCTAGATATATCCCCTTTTTAAATAAACTACCCGACCCATTTTCAACAATTTTTTTGGTAAATCCCGAAAATGAGTAATTGACTAATAAAAAATAGAAAAAATATAGAAAATTAATGCCAAAAATTCACAAAAAAATATAGTAACCTTAAATTCAACAATTTCAACAATTTTTTAAAATTTTTATTGTTTTTCAATAAATCCTGAAAATGAGTAATTGATTAATAAAAGATATGAAAAATATGAAAATGACTTTATGCTGAATTTTTAGGTTATATTTTTCATATTTTTTATTAATCAATTACTCATTTTCGTGATTTATCGAAAAAAATAAAACTATTAAAAAAAAATTGAAATTGTTGAATTTAAGGTTACTATATTTATTTGTGAATTTTTGGCGTTAATTTTATATATTTTTTTCATATTTTTCCTATTTTTTTATTAGTCAATTACTCATTTTCGGGATTTACCGAAAAAAATAAAAAATTTTAAAAAATTGTTGAAAACGGGTCGGGTAGTTTATTTAAAAAGGGGGTATATCTAGACCTTTTCGAATAGTTTAGGGGTATATTTGACCCTTTTCCAATGCCACGTGGTAATGTAAAAATGACGTGGCAATTTCAGTTGGATGGCAAGGGCACAAGTGAGACAAACTTTAAACGGGGGTATATTTAGACCTTTTCGAATAGTTTAGGGGCATATTTGACCCTTTTCCCTTTTATTTTTAGTCAGTTCAAAAAGAATGACACATATTTATATTAAGTAATCATTTAACTTTAAAATACTTATTTTGACCTTTAATTAAATTATTTACAGTCATACAAATATCTATCACTTATTTTAGAGCACAAGTTTCAAAAGTTTTCTTTTCTTTCCTAAATTTTGTGTCAAGTCAAACTAATTTTTACGTAAATGTCAAATAAATAAAAGACTTGAAATAAATACTCAATATCCAAAAAAAACTTCCTCCATCCTTTTTTTATTTTTGAGTGAGGGGATCGAGGGAGAGAATAAAGTGGTAAGACAACATCTGTCTGTGAAACACTTGTTTTTGCAAACAAGCATCTTCAGAAGCAAAAGCTATCAAATTACATATGTAAAAACCTTACCTTGTTACTTTTGTTTTTGCGGTACCTCAAAACACTAGTAAAGACAATTACAGTATAACTAAGCCAAATTGATTAAGGGTGTGTTTGGTACGGAGAAAAACATTTTCTGGAAATAAACTGCCTACATGAACTATCCAACCTTGTTTGAAACACGGAACAACACATTAAATGAAACATATGTATGTATGAAATTAGTTTACCTGAATAGGTGATAGATCAGCAGCAAAGAACTGTTCCGCGGTAACATACTGATTGTTAAGCTTAGAACAAATAGCAGAATCAGCCAAACATGCCCTAATATTGCCCCAATTATCAGGGCCTACAATATGATCCCTCAACCAGTAAGAAAACCCTTCAAGCCTATAATCACGGTAAGCTCTTCCAGGCACCATATAATCCCCGGTTGGACCCGTGACCACAAAGGCAAGTACGAGGAGCACGAGGAGAAGGACGATAAGAAGGGCCATACACACCAAGTAGACACCTAAAAGGCCTTCTTTTTTCCAGTAAGCTCCAATAAAGCCAGTCAAAGAAACCAACATGATGGCAATTCCAATGAACACGACTGGCCATCTGAGCCAGTGAATGCATTCGTTGTCAGGATTTGAAGCCAACCAAGTGCCTGATGCGATTATAGGGATAGAACACATGAATGCCAAGAAGTTCAAGAAAGCTGTTATGTTATTACTCGAAGACATGTTCGATTCACACAATAAATTTTCGCTTTTGTTGTGAGAAAGATGTGTTTTTTGCAGATGGTTTATATAGCTCTGTTTATTTGGAGTTTTGAGTGCCTGTGTTATAGCTATAGAGGAAGATAACAGGGGAAAGTGTAGTAGGAATGGTATATATTAGTGGCAAAAGTTTCGTCCAATGAAATTCCCACAAAAGTACATCCACAACACACTACATTGCACCTATATATATTTGGCCAAGTTTTTTTAGTTTTCAATCGTATAGCCCACTATTTTCATATACCAATATTTACAACACACTAGTAACGTTTGCCAATTTGCGTATTTTTTCCTATTATACACCCGATATGTAACATTATACAAAATATCGATTTTGTTTTTTGCAAATAATTTTTAAAAACTCAATTTGGGGAGATTTTGAGCTCGGGTTAAGGCAATTTTGAGATTTTATGTGTGGTAAGTATTACAACCCGTCTCGAATCATGATGACACCTACTATAAGCCATCAGTAGATAAGCCAACTTGTAACCAGGAACAAAAAGTTATGGATATAAGGGAAGAAACATTGTGGAAGCAATAAAATAACAACAAAAACAAACAAGTGGAAGCAAACCAACATTATATATAAGAGATCTCTCCCAAACCCTGAAAGTCACGAGTACAGAGTTGTCTAAATAAAAGAATACAAGTCCCACAAGTGAACCTCAAATACAAAACTTGTCTCAAAATGCAAAGACTAGTTATATGAAATACAGAAGGAGACCGGTAAGTCCAAGACGCCAAGTGCTCACCTTCGCCTCCAATCAACAACTACAACAAGCTTGAATAATTACCACTGATAACTAGTACTAGATCCTGCATCATGAAACAGATGCAAAATGTAACATCAGTATCACGATCTAAAGTATACACTAGGTGTAACATGGCGTATAGAACCCCAAGAGGCCCTACACAAGCCACTTAGCATACATCATACAAGATAATAGAAATAAAAATTTCAAAAGATAGAATTTCATATTTCAAAAGAGTTTGACAAAGAGGAAGTCTAAAATCAGTCTCAATAAGCCACATAAATATCATAAGAAGTGGTTAGAACGTAATCCATACACCACATACATCATTCAAAACTAGAAAGACATAAAACAAATAAAAGTGTCTCGGTCCTCAGAACATGAGGACTCACCAATCTCTTGAAATTCGGAAGAAATCAACTAGCCACGGGAAGGGTTGTTCATGGTTATGTTTAAAAAAACCAATCCGAACCAAACTAATTAAAATAATCGATATTTGGTTTTGTTTGGCTGAGTTTGGTTTTAAAATTTGAACATTGATACTTGTTTGATTTGGTTTTGGTTTTACTCAAAAACAACTACAAAAATAACCAAACCGAACCAATAGATTAGATATATAAATCTTACAATCATTTATATATTATTCATTAAAAAATATAATTTTTTTGTTGAATTTTAATTAACTTTTGTCTTTAACTTTCTCATTTTCTCTAGCCCAACACTTAAATTTTAGACTAACTATTACAATCCTACATTCAAGTCCATCAAAATATATTACTTTAGTCTTTACCTACCCTACCTCACATAAGATAGTCATACTTTCTCTTAACTGAATCACTTTGTTCAGATAATAACTCAAGTATTGTATAATTGCTTAATTGGGCCGACAGTAACTTTCATGTGAATTGTTCATGTACTAGGTGTTTGTGTCTATCGAGATATGTATGTCCTCAAAGTAGAAAATGTCACGACCCAAGCCTACACCCTGGACGTGGCCGGCACTCGAGAACCATTGTTGGTCCCCAAGCGAACCCTCATCCTAGTTGACTACAAGCGGACAACTGATTCAACCATACAAAGCTTAAAAACTGAATAAAATTCATGAAACTCAAATACAAAGCTTTAACTCAAATGATTTACTCTGAATGTAAATAGAATATTCAACAAGCCAACAATAGGCAACTCAAGTCTTTAAAACATTTAATAAGATAAATGAAACAGCCTTCTCAAACTCTACGATCCATCTATAAAGCCTCTAACTGATAAAGATGAAAGTCGGGACAAGATCCACGACATCCTAACAACCGATATAACTGAAAGTACAAGTGGAACCCTTCGGAAGAAAGGAGGCTCACCATAGCTAACTCGAACTGCATGTGGTATCAACGAAACGCCTGTTAATGATCCCGAGTACCTATATCTGCATCATGAAATGATGCAGGCCAAATGGCTCAGTACATGGAATGTATGAGAATGTAAGGGGAATTCTAAAGCATAAATATAAGCTTGAACTAGTGGAATAGAAACATACTTACCTATTCTAAACTCACTTAACTCAACTCCACTCAAAGAAACATAGTTCAATTCAACTTAGAGAAAATATGACTCAACTCAATGATAAGATATTCAACTCAGTGAAAGAAGGCTCGACTCAATACTAAGATACTCGACTCTGGATACTCAACTCTGGATACTCAATATAAAGCAACAGTATAGATGCAATATATGGAAAACTTTTAAAACAATAAAAATCAGCTCAATGTATTGAAAACTGCAATAGTAACTTAGTTTGTATGCAAGGATACAAGATCAAACATGTTTGTATATGAATATACAAAGTAAACTCTGTGTACATAAGAATACAAAATATCTCTGTGGGAGTTTCTCTAACCGACAACCATCACTATGAGCTATGTGATGATACAGGGTCTTGCCGCACGCTGCCAGGGTCGTCCTATACTTTGTCGGGGTATAGAACCTACTCAATAAGTGGATCCACTAGTCTATGCTAAAAACATTAAGGAATCATCTAAAAAGTATGACCCTTTTCTACCTATGCTGGCTACACGGTTTATGGAGACTTTGAATTATCTGAACTCAAACTCGTCCCTATATCGGTGCTCAATACTACTCCCAAAATGTAACTAGCTCATATATTTAAAAAAACATAATCTTTCGGTGGTTTGAGATTGTTACTCAAAAACTAGCTCAAAAGCTCTTTTGGAAATCTCAGTTTCGTCTCATCTTAAATGTGAAAACATTTACTCTTGGAATACTTAGTTCTCATATATCATTTTAAAGAACATGAACTCAATTCTGCTCTTTCCCAAAAAATTTCAAAATCATATTCAGAAAGTCATACTGCATAAACATTGATGGTATATCTAAATACCATATTGCTCATACACTGATGGTAGACTCGATTGTCATACTAATCATGTTTTAGAAAACTCTTTTCTCAAAACTCATCTTTACTCTCTCAAAACTCAATTTAAAAACTCAAGTGTTGGCTTTAAAAAACTTTTTAAAATATACAACTCAAATCATAGGGTTCATGTGGAATTATGAAATGAATGACTCAACCTAGGGATCTTTATAACAATAAAGAACCCCAGTACTCAGAACTCAAGACTCAATGATACTACTCATCTCTAGACTACTCGACTCATAGGGTTCATGCAGAATTATGGGCATGAACGACTCGACTCAAGGGTCTGAATAACAATATGAAACTCATGTATACGACTCTTCTCATTCTCATACTTACTTGCTCAAAGCATAGTTCAAATTGATAGTTGATCTCAAGGGATTCACATTTGATCTGAATGACTTTCTTGAACTCTACTCTTAACTCTCTCTTGAATGTGAATTATGAATTCAAGAGTTATGGTTCATGCTATTAAGGATCTCGTGATGATAAAGTAGACTCATGAATACATTCTCCTCATTCTCATACTCACTTGCTTGAGTCTTGGAACACGTTATTAGAAATTGTAGAAGACTCATAAAAAAGACTCAAAGGGACTTTCTCAAAATGTTCGGAAGAATTCTCAAAACTTGACTCTTAACTCTACCTTGAATTTTAATTATGAATTCAAGGTTATGATTTATGATAGGAAAGGTATAGTGATGATTTAAATGAGTTTTAGATAAATAAATCATGAGAAACGGTTTAAAAATACTATTTGAGGAGTAAGTCCGCAACGCGGAGATCCATATAAATATTTGGCCACACAATAATTTTGAAATAGTGGATTCTGCGTTCTCTCGATAATGCGGAGAGGAAAGTTTTACTTTGAAGGAACAAATCCGCGTCGCGGACCTAGTATTTTATTTCTGTCCGACTTTTTCTTACTCATTTTTCGACCCTAATTCGCCTAGAATTGAATGGTTTCTTTCCCAATCACTTAGATTCGAATACTCAACTTATGTAAAGGATAATCTACTCCAAACCACCCTCAGTTCACTAACTTTATATTTCAAGAACTCATCAAATCAATCCTAATTCAAGAACGAAAGCAAATTCAAGAGCACTAATCAAGAACATCAAACCCTCAACTTTCTAGGAAAAAATTACGCCAAAAATAACTTGATTGGTGCGTAGTTGAATGAACCCAACACTATGAAAGCTAACATACCTCTTAGGGATCAAACCATTGGCGAAAATCCATAGCGAAACTCAAGAATCTCGACGAACGCTTTGATCCTTTCCTCTTTACTCCTTTTTTCTCTTCTTGAACTCTCAACTAAAACCCTAAGAATAGATTAGGATTATAAATTGAACCTAATCAGATTAGACCCCTAAAACCTTGCGAAACACGAATTAAATTTGATTGGGTAAGGAAAAGATCAAAATACCCATCACTATTTTCGGGTAACTTTCCTTAACTAGGCAGCCTAAGTTCAAAAGGGCATATCTTACTCATTCGAACTCTAAACTTAGCAAACTTGATGGCGTTGGAAATATAATTCAAATACCTTTCATTAGATATCTTATGGGTCACCTAACTCATCATGTATTGAAGTTATGATAGTTTGAAGTTGACCCAAAACTTAGAAGAACTTAGGAACGACTTGATTGAATTCTCTTTAGTTCTTCTTTAAACTCAAGGTGCTACATCTAGTGATCTTAACATTCAAGAAAATTTCAAATTCCTTGGTAAAATCCTACTCACAACGAAGGATGGTTCGAGTCTTAGCTCAAAAAAAATTCGGGGTGTTACAGACAAAACCAGAATAACTGAACCAAACCAACAATAACCAAACTGATGATTATTTTTTCATTTGGTTTGGTTTTAGGAATTTGAAAAACCCAACTAGATTGTTTTGGTTTTAGTTTTAACCAATAATCGATTTAAATCGAACCATGAACATCCCTAGCCACGTGAGTGAGGGGTTGGAGTGTGGGACCCTACACTAATGAGA